GGGGGCATTGGCCTGCTAAGGCTCGAAAATTGCTGCCTTCTCTGTCGTGCCTGGACAGTCCGTTCCAGTGCTTCCAAGGCAGCCGAACCGAACAACTCCCCCGGCACCACTGGGACATTACGGAGGGCTCTACGGCATGGCTCAGTCAACGCTGACTGAGCTAACCAGACCTGTCGGCGAGCTTGGACCAAGGAGGACATCACACGCCCAAGCTCCCTCGTCATTAGTGCAAAGGCCTGAAGCGCTGCATCGTTAAAGCCCATCGCTGCTGTCGCACCACTAGTCCCCTGAAGGGACGCGGAGAGGGCAAGCATTAGGTGTGCCAAGGAATTACCTAGGCGGCCAGCACGCGCTCCGGCGGCATAGGCTCTGCAGAGGAATTCATCCGTGACACGACACTGAGCTCGTGGGCACCGAACATGACTGCGCAGAGCTTCATCTGGTGACACGATGAGAGAGGCAACAGCAGGTTCTATCGCTGGCATGCGATCCAAGCCTGCTGCAGCCGGCTCATGCATGGCCGCCAACACTCTGCCATCTGCAGAGAGGCGCGCAAAGGCCTTGGGGTCCCGCCAGCAACCATGCAACTCCCTCAGGAACTCCTCTGATGGAGGGACAGAAAAGGAAGGAGGGGTCAGTCCGCGCCTGAAGAAGGCACTTCCAGGGGTGGACGCCTCTGGTTGCGGGACGTCCAGCTGCAGTTGTCTCAGGGCCATACGCATAATGTCCTGCATCGAGCCGTCACCCGACCCACTAACTGCACTCCGAGAAGAAGAGAGTGAAGCTGTCTCTGAGACTCGAGATGAATGCCCGTCCTCCTCACCTAAAAAGTGAGAGGCAGAGGCAGCCAAGGATAGCACATCCTCCTCCACAGCCAGTTCAGGCATGGGTGGGGAGGAGAGTCCAGTTGCTGCCACTGGTTCAGTTCCCAGTTGGTGCACCTGAAAAAGGGACTTCATCTCCGCTAATTCAGCGGAGAGCTGCTCCACCCTTGTGGAGAGGCCCCTATCAGACCTGGCTCGCTTCTTCCCAGGAGGGGCCACAGAGACTGCGGCCTCAGTCCGGCGCTTCGAGCGCCTAGGTGGAGCCTCCTGCCCAGAAGGCGGGAGGTCATCGCCGAGTTTGGGGCGAAACTGGGCCAGCCGGGCCGCCCTCACAGCATGCGACATGAAGCTGCAATTCATGCAGGGGTTCTCTGACAGGGCATCCACCAGATGGTCATGTCCAAGGCAGGCAGGACACAGGTCGTGACCGTCATCTATCTGGAGCATGGCTCCACAGACTGTACAGCAGTGAGAGCCGTCCATGCTCCTTACCCAGCTATGCCCAAGATATTCAGAGGGGCTAGCACCACTAGCTCAGCTGTTAAAAGAGGACAATTGGGAGAGGGGGCGCGAACGCTCGCCTTCACCAATCAAACAAGGTCAAAACTCAGAGAGGCTAGCACCACTAGCTCAACTGGTAAAAGAAGACAATTGGGAGAGGGGGCGCGAACGCTCGCCTTCACCAATGAAAACAAGGTTAGAACACAGAGAGGCTAGCACCACTAGCTCAACTGGTAAAAGAGGACGATTGGGAGAGGGGGCGCGAACGCTCGCCTTCACCAATGAAAACAAGG